GGGCCGGGGGCGGCGGGGGAGCGGGGCCGGGCGCTGTCCGCCCGCCCAGTGCTGAACGGCAGCGCCCGGGCCCCGCAGACAATGGCCGGGCGCGACGCGCCCCTCACCGCCGCGCAGGGCGCCGGGGCGGCCGCCGCCGCCTCCTCCCCCCCCCTCCAAAGTCTGCACGGTCGCCCTGTCAATTCTCTGCAACAATTAGGAAAAGCTCCCGTTTCGTTTCCACCTCGCCTATCCGATTAGCAGAGAATAATAACGCTAATAATACGAATCCAAGCGGGTGGATGTAAATGTTCCGGTAAACAATTAGTGTTTAGGGTAATTCTGGAGTTAACCGCGTGCCTCTCCTGGAAGTTTGTGTTAATCTCTTTAGAATAAGTCTAACAGTTATGAATTAGATTAGCCCTGAAAACATAGCCTAAAGACAAATCAAACAATTTACCCGATCTTTTGTTTCAATATACATTAATTAAGCACTGCTGCCTACCTACACGGCATTCTTGGGTCCCGGCCACGGTGCCGAGCCAACGCGCCCCGCCGCCTTTGTCAGCATTTGCGTCCAACTATTGCCCTCTGCAGGTCAGCTCCCAGCCGCGGGAGCGCTCCCCGCTGCCGAGCGGGCAGGAGCGGCCGGGCTCCGCGCCCCTCAGGCCCCCTTTGCGGAAAAACGATCCAACTTTTGTTGGTTTTGATTCTTCCCCACGAGGGCTCGGAGGTGTTTCTTTAGGAGGGGCTACGACCGGGGAGAACCGGCGCCAGGCAAGGCACAGGGCAGCGCTCCGGGCTGTCCCCAGCCCCTCTTCCGACAGGGGCCAGGAGAGCAGAAGACACCACAAGGCGAGGTGCCACTGTGAAGACATGTTGTTGTCTTTCTCCCCTTCTCTCCATACGACTTAGGGAAGCTTCCTAGGCAAAGCCTGCCCTTTTCCCGGGTTTGCCGAGGAAAAAGGCAAAGAACCCAACACCAAACAGGGCCAGGAGTGTCCCGGCGCTCAGGATCCTGCCCGACTCCCCCCAGCCGGGCAACTTTTCCCCGGGCACAACTTGAGTTTGTCTCTCTCGCTCCCAGTACCAGAGAAATCTCCCAGGAAGCCAGTCAGCCCCTCCTTCCCTCTCTCCCTCCCCAGCCCCGCGCCCCCTACCCCAAAGGGGTGCTTTCTGCTCCTGCGGGGACAGAGGGAACTTTGGGCACCGCCCGGTGCCCCTCCCGCAGCCGCGCTCTGCCGTGTCCCCGCATGCCTCGGCACCATTTACATCCTAACACTCAAAATGCTGTAGCAGAGCAAAAAAGGAAAAAAAAAAAAAGCCAACAACGTGAAAGCGATGTAGTTATTGTTAGTTATAATTCGGGAGCTCCGGTGCCTAATAAAAGGTGGCTGCTCCCTTTCCTTTTCCCACCACACGTGAACACCGGTTGGTAAGGACACGCGTTAATTCCCTTTCTCCGCTTTCCACC